ATCAAAATTGCTGGCCGGCTACCCCAAAAAGGTGGCCTCCCATGTGTGCACAACACAAATATGTGATCAAAACCTAGAAAATGTGAACCAGAAGAGAGAAAAGCCAACTTTTTAGAGGGGTTCAAAAGGGTCAGAGACAATTACTGGCCGGCCTATTCATATTGGTGGCCTCCCAGGTGTGTACAACACAATATGGGGTTTAGGACTAAAGAAAGTGGCCCGGGAGTGGTCAACATTAGCTTTCTAGTGAGGAAAACGGGCGACGGAGAGCGATGAAGAAATAAAACTGGCTTTTCAAAAAAATTGCTGGCCTCCCACCCTCCTACAAGCTTTCTAACAATGAAAATAAGGTCTCCACCAAAAATGAACCAAAACGGATGCAAAACGGAGGTTCGGGGACCGAAACGCGCGACCTGGGGCCCCGAAAATGGGTTGTTAAACATCGGAGGTGGCATTCGACCACGAAGTTGGTCTCTCCAGCCATAGTGTCCCCCAAAAGGGAGTAAATAAGATGTGTGCCGAAAACTGGAGCAAACGGAGGTGGTTAGGCGGTCCCGAACCGAGGCACACGGCCGACGGCTCCGAAAAATCGGAAACCGGGCTCCAAACGGGAAAAATGGCCTACGACCATGAAACGTAGCCTACGGCCACTGAGAGATGGTCTACGAGACCTCTCCTTCCCATCGGGAAGAGAAAACGGGACCTAGTTCGCAAACCGAGGCAAAACACGAAAGAGCCCGGAAGTCCGAAGGCAAGGCTCGCAGCCGAGACTCCGCAACCTTAGAACGAGCACAATATGCGACATCACCAAACGCTCAATCAGTGATGTCTGAGTCTTAAGGTCGGTCAAAAATGGGGTGTCTACAGTAACTATGGCCAATAAATGCATGAGAGCTCTTTCAAGGTTCGCCATCATTGTCCAAAACCTCTTCGTATGCATGATCAATAAAGGAAAATGTTTGATTAGCCATCAAAAATGTATCAGTCCCTTCACTTGCACAGATAGTGCAGGTAAGGTTCAAACACAAGAGGAAGTTCAGTATTTTAAACATTGCTTGAAGATGGTTATACTTCCAGAACAATTAATTACCATGCACGTCCTAGGACGTGGGCAGAAGTGCGTCAATCCACTAATATTACCAAGTATTAGTTATATTAGTGTGGGGGGTAATATGTGCTATATATTTTGTACAAACCCATCACAGCCTGACACGTGGTTCATAAGGGGTAAGTTGGGAAGTCAGTGAAAGTCTCCAGTCATCAACAGACACGTGGCAACTTATATCAATGGTGATGGGTCTGTGAAACACTAGAGTAGTCAAGATGCGTACGATGACGTGACCAAACAATTGCTTACAATTTAAATTCAAATTCAATAGGGAAGACCAACTACAACAATGATTTAGTGGAAGCAAAATGTTTAAAGTCATGACCAATGATCATGGAGATTACTTCGACAGTTATCACCTATTTTGACGATTATTAGTCACTTCGACGGTTATAATCAGAGCCTATAAATAAAGGAGAATGCTGATAATGAAAGGACCCAGAACCAGATCTTGAAGCCAGTTTATTTTGCTTTATATTTTCCTGTCCTTTACATTTCCAATCCTTTATTTTCTAGTCATTTATTTTCCTATTTTGCACTTCCAATTCCTAGGAATAGTTCTAAGATAGCCTGTTACTGTAATCCCCTTCGAGGCTGTGAGAATGCGAAGGTACAAATTGTAAACTCTTGGTTATTTGATGAAATTTGATTTCTGAAGCTATTTCTCCCTCTTTCTTTTATTTTTGTGATCAGCCTTCTGAATTTTCTCCAAAAAACAAGCCACGAGTAAAAGTTCTCTTTATTGAGGTTAAAAGAACTTCGAAGCAATCGTTTGGTTAATTGGTTGGCCTTAGTATTTCTGTAAGGACTTATTAATCTTTGCTGGCACTCTCAAATTACATTTCTAACCCTCGAAAGCCAAAAAAGACAACAATGTCATGTCGTTTTTGTGTCATGTCATATCGGGTTCATGTTCAAAATAATCCAACACTAACACGGCCCATTTAATTAAACATATCAGTTATCTTGACACTAGCCTGACCTATTTATAACTGTGTTAACCTTATATTGGGTTCATGTTTCCTAGCATGTCCTACTTATAACCATATTAACCTTAACACGACATGCTTGATACAATTTCAAAAAAGCTTTAAAACAAATAAAATAAAAATAGTTTTTTAAAATCTATTTTTTTTTTGAAAAAAATTCATTAAACATAAAAACTAGTTTGATGAGAAAACAAAAATACTCATTATTTTTATATTAATTGAGATGAATATTTTTTTGATTTATGTTTTTATCAAATTAATTTAAAGTTTGTAAAAAAATTTAGAGAACAAAATTTAAAAACTAAATCAGACAGAGTGAATTATAACTATAACACAAAAAATATTAATAAACTAACTAAATTAAGCAGAGTAAATAAAAATTGTAACACAAAAAATATTAATATACTAACAAAATATATTATATTTGTCAATCACGTTGACTCATCATTGCAAGTTGTAACTTGTATGCCAAGAAGAATAAAAATAAAAAATAAAAAGTTTTATGGTATTTGCTTGAACGAAGAGTTCTTCAAGATTTTGAGAGAGGCAAGCAACTTATCAAATTACAGCCGACAACTGATTTATTATTAATTTAGGATTGCACTTCATTAATTATATCTATTATATAAAGATTTAACTTATAATTTAACGGATGATAAGGAATTACTTAAAATCTTATAGTTATTAAATTCAGGTTGTATTCGGATTACATGTGAGTCAATAGTGAGTTCATGTTAATATACCAACACAAATTATTAATGTCCATTTTAGATTTCGCGTGTTCAACCCAAATACGACCCATTTAATATTCGTGTTTTCAGGTCATGTTATATTCAGGTTCAAGTCAAAAAATGATTAATTCTAACCCTCTAATTACATGTATGATTCAAGTCATGTTAACGGGTTATATGCCAAATTTCTACACCTAATAAAAACAAACTTGCCTGTTTTTTTTTTTTTTGTTTTTGAAAAATTTGAGGGGCATCAAAGTATAAAGAGAAAGCATACATAAAGGTTGAGATGACAAACCCAACTGAACAAAGATAAAAACAACAACTCACATAAAAAAACGAGAGGAATATCACCCAAGCTCCACCTAATGCATAGAAGATCGAAGAGCAAACCAGAATGCAAAAACAAAATTAGAAAGTTATTTGTATGTTCTTCGAAAACTCTAAAAGCAAGATCAACCACCTGCAAAACAGAATTAGAAGCCACAATCATAAACAATAATTAGAAAGCAATGGTCCTGTTGGGGGGATCTGAATAGATTAGGTTCGTTGTGGCTGTTCTCTATAGCATGCAGTATTTTCCTCTTGTTCCAACCAAAACTCTCTGTCATTGGCCTTCTTTAATAAATGTACGTTTGGAGCTAGAACTATCATATCTCCATCTCCATTTTCTAAAATTACCTTCTTTACTATGGTCAACAATTTTGTTAGGATGTTGTTGAACCTCTAGATAAAAACCTTAGTGCAGGCCAATTTGCCTCAAATAGTTACAAGTTAACAATCTGTCGCTTTGCTTAGTTACAATACCATATACACAATTAAAAGAAGCAGCTCCTGGTTGTGGTTTTGATACATTTCTACTAAACATGTTTTATGCAATTGACCCGATTCCTGAAGTACGGATTTCACAGTAGAAATTAATGACATATTAGATGATTCAATTTTACTGTTAACATCATGCAAAGCTGGACTTTTAGTAACCACTTGATTGAAACCTTTGATCTGTGTTCTAATGAATTCCTTGTGAATTATTTTTTTCCAATTTATCCCCTATATCTTGCTTGGACTATATTATATCATCTACTGATTCAAAGATTTTAATGAGACAGACAAAAGTTGTATTATTTTCTGTTCCATGGCTATCAAAATGGCAAGTACACAGATAAACCATTTACAATTCTCTGGATATATGAAAATTTGTTCCATTTTATTAAATAACTATAGTGAAACAGTTTTATGTAGAGAAGCCAAAGGGGGCCCCTACAGTAAGAAAGAGAGGTATTCCCATTTAATTCTGCATAGGAAGACATATACATGCATTCAAAAATCATTATTCTGTTACTTCGCTTTCTGTAACACTCAAAAGGTGTTTCTTCAAAAGTTGATCTGCTAAAATGTGAGTAGTGGGAAACAATTTAGGAGAAGATGCATTTACAACCAGAGGATGGTTTGCCATATTTTTTAACTTCCACATGGAATTACAAGTTTCATTCTATTCAAACATGTAAATTGTCACACCGTAGTTCTTTTTTTTCTTCATATTGGTCACTGTCTTGAAAATCATGTGTTATTGGCAGACCTGAGAGAAAGAGGAACTATAGTGCATGTTAGGTAGTGAGATTCCTATAGATTCTCTGCACTTTGCACCAACAAGCTTAGCCCCCAATAGTTTGTTAAAGATGCCTTTCCCAAGACATTTATAAATGGTGCCTCTGAGTCCATCATTCTTAGCCCCATTAACTTTCTAAGTAGGCGATTAGTGTTTGTCAATATTAGGCTGGTTCATTCCTGGTAGGCATAAAGTTCACGACAGTTGGTTCGCCCAACTGATAAATGGCTCGGTTTAACAATGGTGACTGACAAAATAACAGAGATATCTGGAACTTGTACGACTTCTATGACACTCTAAGACTCATATGATAGAGCACAATGGATGCTTTTATTTCTCAACCAAAGAATGCTAGACAAGTGCAACAAAATAAGAATTTGGAAGGAAATCTCAAAGCGAATTGTCACTATATCTGCCATGAACAAACAAGCACTCAAGCAAAATCTGTAACGGCCTATAGTCTTTGTTTCTTTGTTTGTTTGTTTTAGTGAATGAGGCTATTTATTGATTGCTCAATTAAACAGGAATGTAGCGATAATTCAGTACACTTGCATAATGTAATATTTCATTAATAAACTATAATTTTCCTTCTTTTTTTTTATTTATTTATTTGATGCAGGTCATTCCAACATGAGCCCCAAGAAACCAAGCTGTGTAAATATGATCATATCTGCATTATGATTACACACACTTGCGCGCAATTCTGGCTTTTTCTATCAATAATACATGAGTTTAACAGCACTGATGATGATCATGATCACAGGGTAACAAGAGGAGCATCACTTTTGTCTTCTAAGATTGGGGCGGCAACTTCTTCGACCTTCTTTGGTTCGCCACCTTGTACTTCTTTCTTCTCCTCCTTCATTTCATTTGCAGCCTCGAGTTTGTTTTCTGCTGGCTCGGCAGTCTTCTCAATGGGCTCTGAAGGCTTAGCCACCTCCGAACCAGCTTTGGCCTCCTCGACAGGCTTTGATTCGGTGGATGGCACTTCGCTCTTGGCAACCTCCTTAGCCGGTTCAGAAAGATCTACCAAAGGCTCTTCTTCCTTCTTGCTCTCTCCTCCATTGACCTCCTGCATACGACCAATCACAAACACATGCATTAAAGACAATAAATTGAAATGTGAGACTAATTAGATCAAGGGCTAAGAGAATGTCTAAGTGTACAAAAGATTTTCACACAATGAGACACTGGTGTGAGATAAAAGTTAAGCCCTACTTATGTGGGTCTCACGCCTTTGTCCCATATCTGTGTCCTACTCTATGAAAATCTTGAGTGTTCATAGCATAATTGCAAAGGCTAATTAGCAATGTTTACTTGTGGAACAGTCTCGCCCTCGACTGGCTTTGCGGTGGTGGTATCCTCGGCTGGGAGGGGCTCCTGTTTGACATCCAAGTCCTTGGGTCTGCTTGCACAACCTCCCATGGTTTTATATATATAAACGATGGGACGAGTGGGCAAGGTGGAGATGAATATTGATTGAAGAGAAGATGTATTTGTGCAAATGAGTAAAACTATTTTGAGGCTGGAAAGAAGAGGAGGGACAAGGAAGAGGTTATATAGAGGGTGGAAACTTGTTCCAATTTTCTAATGTTGGGAAGGACAGACTTCTTCTTGTAAGCATTTTTTGACCTCAAACAAGTGTTTGTGGCCAATCTCACTACATTTGACTATTTCCTATGGACAGCATAGTTTTAGTTGGAGAATTACAAGGATTGGTTGTGTTTTGAGGTGGGTTCCAATTGGGAGTTAGTTTTGACCGTCGTCCACAGTTTAAAATTTTGGCGCCGAAGCTGAGGTGGCTGGCCTCACTTTCATCAAAGATTATTGTGCAAAATCACATTAATGTGGGGAAAGATATATATATGAATAAAAATTTATATATATATATATATATATTTGTTAGAAATGGGTTTTGAAAAAATCTGGAAAACAGAATTTTTTTCTAATTTTGGTCTATTTTTTACGTGGGACCCGTGCGCCAAAATTGGCGGGTCTAAGTGGTAACACGTTTTATGCCGCATTGTTATTCACATGGTATATTTGGTTGCTCAAAACCATTATCGGGTGAATAGAAAGTTGAAGCCAAAGTGAGCTCCATGGAAATAGAGTTTTGGTAGAAATTTCTTTAAGGTATGGTTTAAGGCTTGTCCCACATTGGTTTGGTGGGAAGAGTTTTGTGGGTTTATAAAACATGGGTTTGGAACTTGGGGTAGGCCCCAAAGGGCACCCAAGTTTTGTAGAGAGGGAGGTTATGGACAAAATGAGCTAGACCCATTAGACCCAAAAAATCACCACATGCGCGCCCCACCATCCGATCAGTCGAGCAAGCTTGGGTGCGAGTGTGTGGTTGGATTAGGCTTGTCTGGCCCAATACTAATCTTTTTTTGGCCAAAAAAAATTGGATTTAATTTTATTTTTTGAAATAAAATCTATCCAAGAATTCAAATTTAATTCTGAATTTCTATCCAGGTTAATTTCAATTTTTGAAATTTCAAAACAGTTTGCACCTTTGTCTAACAGATCCGAATCTATTACAAACCCAGAATAGGTTTTGTTCAAAATTCGAACCTAAACAGATTCATATATGTTTGAATTCAAACCCAAACAGTGCCATTTCAAACCAATCCGATCTGCTACATGTTCAAACAAATTTATTAACTGTTTAATTCAAAATGAAGAGTCACCTTTACACCTATATATCGACAAGTCTCCCACTTGGTTTTTTACTCTAATTTCGTTCAAAATATTGTCTGCCTTCTCTGCATTTTTGCTGCATTTTTTTCCTTCTGAGAAAGAGTGTAAACACTTAGTATGTTCATTGTGTGAAGAAATTGTAGTGCTGCATTTATTCATTGATTGATCATTTTATCTTGGGAGATAGACGTCCATATTCTGAAAGCACTCTGGAGAGGACGAATCTGTCTTAAGGACACACTAGTGTCTAACACTGGACTTGATCAAAATATTGTTCAAGAAATTAATCTAATAAATTGTTAATTTATTTTCTAGTTTATTATTTATTTAAATCAGATTTTGATTTTGTTTTTGTGACAAAATAAAAATCTGTTTTTATTTATTTTTATTGGTTTGATTTTTGTAATCAAACAATCTCTCTTATTTCCTATTTTTCCTTTGTATTCCGTTTGTTATTTAGTACACAAACAGAATTTATTTCATTAAATACAGTGAAGATTGTCCAACAATCTTAAGACAAACCAGTTTTTGGTGTCTTCATTGTATTTAATTTTCTGTGTTTTCACAAAAGTGATATTCTGGTTGGAAAATAAATTGTAGTAATATACTGTTTGACAGATAATAGTAATATACTGTCTATTTTCTTTGACAGCTAGTAGTAATATACTGGTGTCATTAACAATTACAGAATATTAATTTGTATTACAGAAAATTATTGTGGTATTTTATTTTCTAGTTTTAGTAACAAGGAAAATAAAATTATTTTGTGTTATAATTTATTTTCTGGTTTTAATAACTAGAAAATTAATTTGTGTTTTGGTTTTTTCTGATTTTTGTAATCAGATATGATGGCTATTGCAACTGGAAGTGGTACTCCAATTGTTACACCAACTCCAGTCCCTATCCAGAACCATGTTCAAGTTCCAATAAATTATGGAGAAAAATCGAAAAAATTTAACGGTATTAAGTTTAAGAGATGGCAGCAAAAAATACTGTTTTATCTTACAATTCTAAACTTGGCCTGGTTTCTCCGTGAAGAGGCTCCGGTACTGAGAGAGGATAAAGGTGATCGGCAAGTTGTTGCCGCTGTAGATGCTTGGAAACATTCAGATTTCCTGTGCAGAAACTACATCTTTAATGGCCTTGACAACGTGTTGTATAATGTTTACAGCCCTTTGAAGGCAGCAAAAGAATTGTGGGATTCTTTGGAGAAAAAATACAAGATAGAGAATGCCGGCACAAAGAAATTTGTTGCCGGTAAATTTCTGGACTTCGTTATGACAGACTCCTAAACAGTAATTTCTCAAGTTCAAAATTTTCAAATAATTTTGCATAATATTCATTCTGAAGGTATGTCTCTTAGCGAGTCTTTCCAAGTCGCTGCTTTAGTGGAAAAGTTACCACCGGCTTGGAAAGATTTCAAAAAATTATTTAAAACATAAATGCAAGGAGATGACCATGGATGAATTGATTGTAAGATTGAGAATTGAGGAAGATAACCGAATGGATGAAAAGAGGAATGACAAAAATCCTATTGAGTCCAAGACTAATGTGGTTGAACAAGTGCACAAACCATGTAATAAAAAGAGGAAGTTTACTGTAGATGGTCCTAAACAAGGCGACAACAATGACAACAAGAAGTTCAAAGGAAAATGTTATAATTGTGGCAAGACCGGACATCAAGCTTCTGATTGCTGCCACCCTAAGAAGGATCGTGGAAGTACAAGTAAGAAGACCACCAATCAAGCCAATGTGACAGAATTAGATTACATCTCTGACGGGATGAATGACATCAACCTCTCTGCTGTGGTGTCTGAGGCTAATTTGGTTGGAAATCCCAAGGAATGGTGGGTTGACACTGGGGCAACTCGTCATATTTTTGCGAATAAGAAGATGTTCACTACCTACAGTGAGGCTACAAATGGTGAATAACTTTTCATGGGAAATTCTTCTACTTCTGCTGTGGCTGGACAAGGAAATGTGATCTTGAAGATGACATCAAGAAAGGAACTGACCCTCAATAACGTAGTGCATGTACCTGACATCCGGAAGAATTTGGTTTCTGGTTCTTTGTTAAGTAAATGGCTTTAGGCTTGTCTTTGAGTCTGATATATTTGTATTAACAAAAAGTGGTATGTATGTTGGTAAGGGATACACGAGTGATGGTCTCTTCAAATTGAATGTAATAACGATTGTACCAAAAGTTGCTATTAATAAGAATAACATATCTTTTGTTTATATTATTGAGTGGAATTTATGGCATGGTAGATTAGGACATATAAATTTTGATGCTTTGCGTAGATTAATTGGTTTGGATTGTATACCAAAGTTTGAAATTGATCATAATTACAAATGTGAGATTTGTGTAGAAGCGAAACTAACTAAGGCTCTATTTAAATCAGTTGAAAGAAAAATCGAACCTCTAGAATTAATTCATACAGATGTATGTGATCTTAAATTTGTTCAAACTAGAGGAGGCAAAAAAAATTTCATAACATTTATCAATGATTGCACAAGATATTGTTATGTTTATTTACTTAGAAGTAGAGATGAAACCTTAGAAATGTTTAAACTCTACAAAACAGAAATTGAAAATCAACTTGGAAAAACCATTAAAATGGTTAAAAATGATAAGGGTTGTGTGTAAGAATCTAAATTTTTGGACAACTAATTAGTTTGTTAATAACAATATTAAGTCAATTAATAATGATTATTAAATTATCAAATTATAGTGTTAATAGCATCATGATCAATACCAATGTTAAATTCCTTTAAATAAAATTATTTATCTTCCTGTGATAAAAAATAAAAAATAAATAAAATTTTGTAGCTAATGCAGATGTGAAAACTAAATGGATTAAATTAATAGTAAATAAGCTAGTTAGAGTTTAGTAGGAAGAAAACCATCTAGTTAAAAATAATAATAATAATAATAATAAATAAATAAATAAGGTTATATATATATGCTAATATTGTATTGGCATTAATTTCAATTCAATTCAAAAAAAAAAGGGGGGGTCAAATTGCAAGAAAAGTGGCTGACTGCCACTTCTTTTTCCCTAGGCTGCTCTGCTGCATGCAAGGCATGCTTGTTTTCCCAATTTCACACTCTACATCCCAGGAGAAGTAAGCATGGCATAGGATGACAATTCCAATTTCACACTCTACACTCTACATCCCAGGAGAAGTAAGCATGGCATCTAGAAATTTTTTTTTTTTGCTAAAGAAAGGAAATAATAAAATAAAACAAAAATTTGCTCCCATATTGGCTACATAAGGGACCTCACCATCAGCCATAATACATACACACGGCTGTGAAAGAAAAGAAAGAGTGGAGAGAAAGTGGGAGAGAAAGCAAGAGGGAAAGGAGAGAAGAGAGGGGAAGAAAGGCTCAACACTTGGGATTTTTCTTACTTGATTAAGGTAAAAATACTCAACCCCTATCCTCCCTTAGATGTTTTTCCTAACTAAATCTATACATTAAAAATATGCAAGAGTGTGTATTGATAATACACAAATGCTCAATGCATGTTACATTTGGATAGAATGATAATCTTATGATTATGTGATTTATATCCTTCTTGCAAGTATGGATTGGATGGTTTAGCTACTGATTTTGCTCCTTATGTGTTCAAGTATTCTCCATTGTTGAATCAATCTTGCATGCTTATGAATTTGTATTTACTCTTCACAAATATTATTTTATGTTATCACTAATGAAAGTAAATACGAAGGATTAGAGTTTCACATGGGAATAATAGTAAAAAACATTTTTTTTAGTCTTGCATGTGATTCATGGTGGATACAAAGTGTGTTTTTCGCAAACTAATGAACTTCCAGCAA